CTCCACAACAACGACTCAGTCAAAAACCCACAAGGCAGGTGCCATCAGCAAGAACATACCACTGGGTGCATCTAAGAGCATCACTACAAGTAAGCAATGAGAACCTTCAAATTGCCCTGCAAAAAGCTTTTAAAATTAGCTTCATGAGCTCTCATTTAAGTACTGTTGCAGGCGAACACCATGCAACAACCGATAGTTCACTTTTTTCATATGGGAGTGTCAGATCAAGCCCGTCAGACTTGAAGGAAGCTGAACAAGCGACAAGTGATTAGAGGCTGACACTTTTTTCTTGTTTTTCAGTGAAACAAATTTTGTAATGTTCTACCATATTCCACTATATATTACCTATACTCTGTAGGAGTTAATACGATAAATGCAAGCTACGGAAGAAGCTCGCAGTTGCCGTTCGTCCTCAGAACTGATATCACAAAGAAGCCCACGGCATTGGAATCAGCCAATAACTCCAGTACAAGTAAGCACAAGAGCTATCGTTTTTGTCGTGCTCAGGAGAAACACATTCCGTTCCACAAATTTTCAATGGGGATGCAGTTGCAGAGAATATCTCACATCAGTCATAACATCATTTTTCAGAAAACACTGAGAATTCATCAGAAATGGCAGGAACTGAGCAATCTACAGCAAGTAAATAAAACTGATTTCTTTATTCGTTCTTCATCTTGTAAAATGCATTTTGTGATTTCATCGACTCTTCAGACGGTGCTACCGGGGATACAACCTTTGAATTTGAAGTGCAATTTCCTACAAAGTTGCGACCAGACAAACGTCTTGAAATAGCAAACAAAAAGCCTTTCCTCTCGGATTAGCAATAGTAAAAACTCGCAGATTTTGATCTACAGATATCCGACGAAGTCATATTGCAGGAGGATACCGTACAACCACTACTACTTCACTTCGCGCCCTCTCCACGAAGGACCCATTACGACTGGCAGGATCTGAACATTCAACAACAAGTAATTGGAAATGCAACTATACTGATCATTTGGCGCTGCGTGAAAAATAGTCATTGATTTTCCTAATTTACAGCAGTCGAGGATGCAGCGATAACTATGAGCTCCGAAACTATCTCGCAATGGTCGTTTACCCATGATGCTACTATCACCAACAGATCTACTGCTTTAAAATACCCCAGAAGACCTCATACAAGTTAGTGATAAAGCCTCTCCTTTACATCGCATCTTGGCGTTCTCATCTGCTGGAACTTCTTTGCAGGCACAGATGCAGACAATTATTATGCAGGCACTGTAGGTACGTCACAATTCGTGACTCCTGTTACCAACGCCACTAATATCACATCAGATACTATGGACACTGAAGAAGCCGTAACAAGTAATTAGAGGACAATCCCTTCTGTGCTGTTCATCCCTTCATTGGAAGGCTTTCTGTAGTGTTGCTCGTTTCAGCTACTGATGCAGCAACAGTGATAACAAGATCCAAAGCAATGCCGCAGTCGTCCACGATCTTCAGCGATAGAATAGGCAGAAAGTCTACAACGCTGGCTAAAAAGACGTCTACAAGTAAGCAAATAGAGCCTTGTCTCTCATATCTGTCGTAAGAAAAGCATTAATTTCACGAGAACCATTTGAGGGACCCTCCTCTATTCATCCGCAAAAAACACATTTTCTTATCTTCATTTTTCAGCCAGAAACACTACAAGGATCAGTACAGACCTTCAAACAACACCAAAATCGTCGTTGGCTCATAGTCCCACTTTCACCAGCAAATCTATAGCTTCGAAAGCAACTAAACGTGAGCAATGGAGTTTTGTTTATGGGGCACATCTTCAAAGAAAGAGACTGTGAGACTTTGTAAAGATCTTTGTAGGAACAGATGCGGGAAAATATCACACAGTCACCAAATTTATGTCATCTTCTTCATCTTCTGGTGTCATCTCCACTTCGAGTACATTAAGTGCGATAGAGGGTGAACAAAACACAACGATTTATGGAGGCCTAATCTGTAGCAGTTCTTCTCCTTTTATAGTGTTGTCACGTAATTTCTCTAGGCACCGATGTTGGAGCACTAACTTCAAGCACAGAAAGTGTTTCACGCTTGCGCAGCTACGGTGATGTATATGAGAAACAGTATGCGAAGTCCACAAAAGGAAAGGGCGCTGTTACAAGTGAGTGAGATTAAATTGAATCCTTCTTATAATTTGCTGTACTAATAGAATTAGTGGAGGCCTCACTCACCGCCTCAGAACTTTCATCCAGAAGGGCTTGGCTTCAAGAAGTTTTTATGAAGAAACAAAACTGCCGAAGGTCCTCACTCTGCACAGTCCACCATGGTGCACCCCAGAGCTGACACCGCGTTATTTGTTATTATAAGAGTATCGATTTCTTGATTTTGAATGAATTTTTGTACTTCTATAGCTTGGCCATAGGTCCACGGGACTACGGTTAAATGAGAGCCTACATCTCTAACAATAAAAAATCGGAGTTGTCCACGATTGACCTTAGCATGGATTTTACAGGT